CCCCCCTCCCCTCTGAAAAAAAAAAAAAAAAAAAAAAAAAAAAAAAAAAAAAAGAGGGCGTGAGGGGCGAGCCAGGCCCTGGCTCATCCCAGCCAGCGCTCCATGAGGTCCTCATGTCCAGGCTCAGTTCTGAGGCCTTAGAAAGGCCCCCCACCTTCAGTGGAAACACAGCACCCACTTGGCACAATGTCCGGGGAAGGGCAGGCTCGGCCGGGAGCCGCGCACAGACCTGTGGGCCGAGATGCAGGCTCGGGTCAGGCAGCAGCCCTTACCTTCAGGATGGCCGACGTGTTCAGGTGCACGAGGCGCACCTCCGACAGGATGGTCTTCCAGACCTCGGCGTCCGACTCTCTGTTCACGATGTCCTATGAGAGCAGATCTGCCCGTTACATTTCCCTCTCATTTCCCTCTCGGGCTTCCTTCAACAGGAAGGTGAGGCCAGTCACACGCGCCGAAACTGATGGCTGATCCTGGGGGGCCAGCGGGCTGATCCTGGGGCTAGTGGGCTGATTGGGGGCCAGCGGGCTGATCCTGGGGCTAGTGGGCTGATTGGGGGCCAGCAGGCTGATTGGGGGCCAGCAGGCTGATCCTGGGGGGTAGCGGGCTGATCCTGGGGGGTAGCGGGCTGAGCCTGGGGGCACAGTGCCTCCTGCAGCAGCAGCTCAGCCTTCAGGCAGAGACCAAAGACCGGTCTTGCCCTGCGCTTCTGGGATGCCTGCTCACCCACAGGGCTTAGAGCTCGGCCCAGATGCAAAGATGGAGCAATGGAAGTTAGAGACCGTCCCTGAAAGCTGTCCCAGGGGACTCCTGACATCGGGTAATAAACAACTGACATCTGAGGAGCACTTGGCATTGTTGTGGCCTCGCGAGGGCGCCGTGAGGTGGCGTAGGGGCCGCACTGCGGTCAGCCTGCCTCCCCCTGCTCCGTGTGGGGCTGACGGGGCCACCAGCAGGGACTGAGCAGGAGGAGAGGGATCAGCGAGGAGACCTCCGCAACAAGCCAGCAGCGGGAGGGCCTGGGACTCTTGGGACAGCTCCCGATGTCACAGAACAGGCACAAACAACTCCCATGGAGGCGGGAACGCCAGGGGAGAGGAGGGCGAAGCAGGTGCATGAGAACATCACAGCACATGGACGTCTGTCGCACGCGAAGGGGAGGAGAGGTGCTGCTGGGCACAGACATGGAAAAGCAGCCCCGCCTTGCTGAGGGCCACCAGCCACACCCAGCGCGCTGGACATGCAGCTCACACCACTGAACACACGGGGCTGAGTGGGGAGCTGCCGCTGCAGGAGCCTCGGGGAGGCGACCCCAGTGCCATTACTCAGCTCACGCCCTTGAACTCAGACAGCCAATGTCCAGGACACCAGGACGTTCCCCGCCACCTTTCCTAGGACACCGCCTGCATCCTGGAGAGCGAGACTCGTATAAAGGGCCATGTGGCCCTGGTCGCTCAGAGGAAGGCGGCCACTATCCCAGCTGCCGTGGGAAGGGGCAGCCCCAGGACTCCCCCGAGGGCCAGGCCTCTCCCAGGGGAGCCTGCGATGGGGCAGGTGTTCCTGTCAGGCCAGGCCGACCGAGGCTCCTGGGTGACTGAGGGTGCTGGAGCCCCGACCCCAGGTTCAGTGACCTGGCCTTGACGCTGACTAAGTGACCAAGCCAGAGGCACCTCCTCCTGGCAGAACCACATGGGCCACAGAGCCCAGCAGCAAGCATTTACCAACCGTCTGTATACTCTTTGTCTGATACCAGCGCCCCCAGATCCATGATCTGTGGAAGTCTCTAATCCCTGTAAAAGCAGCCACAAACTCTGATGACCGTATCCCTTCCCAGGTTACCCCTGAACCTGGATCACGCTAAACGGCAGTTTCCAACGTCCTGTTAGAAGGTGCGTGTGCTGATGGTGGTCACTCCCCGTCTCTGCAGTGCCCGCGACTCACCAGCCTCCAGAGGCTCTGGGCGGGCATGGAGATGTTGTAGTCGATGTAGCAGGACACCTCCTGCGCGTGGGGGTTCAGGGGGGCTGCCACGTCGTGCCTGCAACACCAAACAATGCTCACGGGAATTCCTCAGCTCACTGTTTCTTTAAGGGGAAAAGCCGCTTTTCAGAAACAGAGCCAGCTCAGCCCAAGGGGCAGCGGTCCTGTAGTCGCTATGACCCAAGGATGCCAGATCACATTGACAGAAAGTATGGCGAGCGCCCGGGGACGCTGGGTGGTGGTGTAGTGAGGGGCGGCCCAGCCCCCGAAATACAGGGGCTGCTCAGAGGCTGAGTTAGGTCAGGGCTGAGAGCAAACATGTCCCCACCCTCCTGCCCCACTGAACCCCAGTCCCAGTCCTGCTGGGCTCACTGACACAGCGGGGACACCACCGACAGAGGAGCCCACTGCACCCTGAGTGCGCGAGCCTGGCTGCTCTCCCCTCACCTGGCCCCTCACTAGAGCCATCTCCCTCCCTCTGCTCCCCTCAGCTGCCGTCCCTGGGTCCCCTCCCGCAGGGAGTGCAGGGGAGCACAGCTGGGAACTGGGAGGAGGAGGGAGGGTGGCATGGACTCACGTGTTGAGGAGGCGGCTGGTCATGCCGTGCACCAGCTGCACCACGTCCCCGTGCCGCACGGGCCTGGGCGGGTTGCTCACCTCCAGCTGGTGCCTGGGAAGACAGGAGCCGCATGTCACCTGGTCGTGTCCAGGCCCTGGGTGCTCCCAGGTGGACAATTGGGAATGTGCAGCCGCCCAACCAGTTTGTCCCTTGTACGAGGTGAGTTCGTGTCAACAACCATGTCACTGAACTCGTTTCTGAAACCTATGGCCACTTTCCAAGCTTCCAAACGTGGTCCCGTCTGCCACCTTCACACTTGGCTGCTCTGTGCTACCTACCAACACTGCGGGGCCCACTCAGAGATCCCTCTCTCACAGACCTGCTCAGTGCCCGCCCGGGGAAAGGGACGCAGGGCCCACTGACCTCGACATGCAGGGGCAGGTGAGTGGGGAGGGCGGGCAGGAGGAGTGGGAGCAGGTGAGTGGGGAGGGTGGGCAGGAGGAGCTAGAACAGGTGAGTGGGGAGGGCGGGCAGGAGGAGCTAGAACAGGTGAGTGGGGAGGGCGGGCAGGAGGAGCTAGAACAGGTGAGTGGGGAGGGCGGGCAGGAGGAGCTAGAACAGGTGAGTGGGGAGGGCGGGCAGGAGGAGCTAGAACAGGTGAGTGGGGAGGGCGGGCAGGAGGAGCTAGAACAGGTGAGTGGGGAGGGCGGGCAGGAGGAGCTAGAACAGGTGAGTGGGGAGGGCGGGCAGGAGGAGCTAGAACAGGTGAGTGGGGAGGGCGGGCAGGAGGAGCTAGAACAGGTGAGTGGGGAGGGCGGGCAGGAGGAGCTAGAACAGGTGAGTGGGGAGGGCGGGCAGGAGGAGCTAGAACAGGTGAGTGGGGAGGGCGGGCAGGAGGAGCTAGAACAGGTGAGTGGGGAGGGCGGGCAGGAGGAGCTAGAACAGGTGAGTGGGGAGGGCGGGCAGGAGGAGCTAGAACAGGTGAGTGGGGAGGGCGGGCAGGAGGAGCTAGAACAGGTGAGTGGGGAGGGCGGGCAGGAGGAGCTAGAACAGGTGAGTGGGGAGGGCGGGCAGGAGGAGCTAGAACAGGTGAGTGGGGAGGGCGGGCAGGAGGAGCTAGAACAGGTGAGTGGGGAGGGCGGGCAGGAGGAGCTAGAACAGGTGAGTGGGGAGGGCGGGCAGGAGGAGCTAGAACAGGTGAGTGGGGAGGGCGGGCAGGAGGAGCTAGAACAGGTGAGTGGGGAGGGCGGGCAGGAGGAGTGGGAGAAGGGGAGTGGGTGAGCATGGGCAGGAGGAGCGGGAGCAGGTGAGTGGGTGAGCATGGGCAGGAGGAGCAGGAGCAGGTGGTGTAGGCCCTACTGGCCACCGTGCGGTCAGGCCTGAAGGCCCAGGACCTGTACGCACCTCCCGGGGTCCTTGACAATCCACCAGTTGTTGACATCTTTGAAGGGGTAACAGGTCACCTGCTGCTGGTGGGAGCTGCCCCGGCCGTTCTCGTAGCTGCATGGGAGGGTCAACAAAGACTGGGTCTGCAGGGGGCCCTGTAAACTACCCAGCATGGTGTTTAGGGGAAAATAAGGATAAAACAGTTTAAGAGGGGCCAGAACATGGGACCTTTCGTGGGCAGAACATGACCAGTGTGGGGTCATGAGGCCGCCTCGCGGGTGTGCCAGGCCCTCCGCCCAGCGAGCCCTCTCACTGGTTTACACGCAGAAATACCAAGACTCTGACAATCAGGCCCAAGAGCTCAATTCCCTGTCTCCCCGACCCTCTTCACATAATGTGAAAGTTGGTAACAGAAAAAGTACGACATTCTATCACTTCCAATAAAACAGCACTTTCCTTACCTCAGCGGGTAGGTGCTCGGGTGGGAGTGGAGCCAGCAGGGCACAGGCTTGCCCGAGGCGCTCTTCAGGGTGACCTGTGAGCCGTAGGCCACCTCCAGGGGCTGGCCTTGCGTGATCCGAGCCAGCCCCCCCTACAAAGGCCAAAAGGGGCAAGTGAGAGTAACATTCAATAACTTCCAATAAAACAGCACTTTCCTTACCTCAGCGGGTAGGTGCTCGGGTGGGAGTGGAGCCAGCAGGGCACAGGCTTGCCCGAGGCGCTCTTCAGGGTGACCTGTGAGCCGTAGGCCACCTCCAGGGGCTGGCCTTGCGTGATCCGAGCCAGCCCCCCCTACAAAGGCCAAAAGGGGCAAGTGAGAGTCAGGGTTCCCCTGCACAACCCTCCCCCACCTGGGAGCATATTCAGGGTGCTGGCAATTATAATTACACTAGAGGCCCGGTGCATGAAATTTGTGCACGGGAGGAGGAGGGGTCCCTCAGCCTGGCCTGCACCCTCTCCAATCCAGAACCCCTCAGGGGATGTCCGACTACTGGCAGTCGGACATCTCTCTTGCAATCCAGGACCGCTGGCTCAACCACTCACCTGCCTGCCTGATCACCCCTAATCACTCTGCCTGCCTGCCTGATCGCCCCTAACTGCCCTCCCCTGCTGGCCTGATGGCCTCTAACTGCCTCTGCCTTGCCCCCATGACTGTGGCTTTGTCTGGAAGATGTCCGGTCTAATTAGCACATTACCCTTTTATTAGTATAGATAAGACACAGCTCTGTCGTGTTACACTGATCAGAACCACTGATGGCATGCCCCCTCGGAGGCAGGGCTTGTGTCCATTTACGAGGTGAGAAAGCCGCTTGCCAGCATTTCCGAACAGGTTGGTGTGACTCCAGGCCACAATTCCAACCACCTCAACTGGTGCATTTGGCTGTTTCTGCAAAGTTCGTGTGAATGAGGCCGAGTTGTCTGTCCTCTGAGGCTTATGCGGCCGCCGGAGCCTGTGGGACCTCGCAGGGGTCTCGGGGCCACTCTGCGTCACAACGATGGAGCTACCCCCCACTCACGTCTGCACCCTCGGGACACTCAGACCAGCTTACAGTCCCGAGGCGCAGGCCTCCTTTCTCACTCTGATGCTCATCCGACAGTGTTTACGTAAGAAACCGAGTCTCCCACGGTCTCTTCTCACCTCCAGGCTGGCCTGGAACGCGCTGGACATGATCTGGTCGTGGGGCCCGGAGCGGCAGAGCAGCGTCAAGTGGACGTAGAAGAACAGCAGGTACGTGACGGCCGGGACGACCACCAGAGCCACAGCGCGGGCCAGCACGTGGCACAGCACACAGACCTTGGCACACAGGGGACACAAGCCCCTCGCACGCAGGCCCCCACTCCTGCGCCCTCCTGAGCCTGTCCACCAAACACCCCGCCCACCCCGTGCACCCTGTCCACCAAACACCCCGCCCACCCCGCGCACCCACACGGCAGCTCCCCTACATTGGACAGAGCCCGGTCTCCGATCAGGTGCCAGGTGTGGACGGCGGCGACTCCGAGCACCAGCAAGTAAGTGAAAATGCCCATGTACTTGATGCTGAAGAGACCAATGGAGGGGAAGTTAAAATGAGACAGACGAGGAGGGCGCAGGCGCTGCCTCAGACCCGGCCGGACTCACCCAACAGCGCAGGAGCAGGCCACTCCGGTCAGCGTCAGCCACAGCCACCAGCTCGGGGAGAAGGGCCTGCGGGCAGGGCGGAGGCAGAGCTGAGAATGGGTCTCCGCGATCCCCAGGGTGGCTGCCTGGACCGAGCTTCAGAGACGCGGAAAATGGACCCCCTTCTCCCCATCATCGGTCCGCGAGTTCTCTTTTTGGCCAGAACATTTCTCCAGTTTAAGTTACAGAAAAACGAGGATGCGTTTATGAAGCCATGAGCTGAGGGCCGGTCTGAGTGGCTGCAAGACAGCCAGCGGGCACGCCCGGACGAAGAGGCTCAGCGCTTTCTGGGTGGACAGGCCGCCCAGACTCTTCCTCCTCGTTAACTACAAGGACCGGTCCCCGGGCCGTACCTGTGCTTCTGGGAGTTGGAGAACTTCAGGTAGGACAGCACGGCCAGTAGATTAAAAAATATTAACAGCGATTCCAAAAGCATCAGCCTGGCCTGCGTGATCAGCGCATTCTCTGTTGGGAGGAGCAGTGTGTGTTGGAAGGAAGCAAAGGCGTGAAGATCAAACCCCCACAAAGCAAACGCTCCCAGGCGCTCAGAGCGGACGGCGGGACGTCCCGTTCAGCATGGGGGTGTCTCCACAACCATGAGGGCAAGTTCTTAGGGGGAGTCACACCCACTGAGACCGTGTGACCTTGGGCAAGTCACGGAGCTTCTCTGAGTCTGTCGTTTTCTCATTTGCAGAAGCAACACCGGCTCTGTGGGCGCCGTGCGTGCTATGGCCTGATGTTGGCAAAGGGCCTCCATTTTCTCTACAGATGGTCTGACTTTGCATGCGAGTTCACTTCATTTGTTGGGAGACCTGGGCTGAAAGGCCCTGTCTGAGGAATACCCACTAACTCCTCTGCCATGGCCATGGGGTGGGGCCCGGGAGGTGGTGGAACCCGGCAGGCCATCCGGGAGTGGCAGACGTGGGTGCAGGTGGAGGTGTTCACCGTTACCCAGGCACCTGTCTGGACAGCCCCAATTCATATGGCCCCACCCCCACAACGTGAAGTCTGGCCACCCACCTCCACAGCCCCCAGCCTGAGAGCGGGGTGACCCCCAGAGTCAGATGTGGACCAACTGCCTCAGCTTCCTTCCATCCTTGGAGCAGAAGCTGCTGAGGGGGGCACGTCTACTAAACTCCGAGCTCTCCTGGGCCACACACTGAAGCGTAGCCAAGGCCCGCCTGTGGCTCCTCCTGCACCAACCAAAGCCGGCCGAGGCCCAGGCCTTACCGATGAGCATCAGCAGGGCGGCTCCCATGGCGGCGCAGTGAGAAAATCGGAGCTCCCACAGGATCTGGTAGGCCATCGGCACCGACAGGGCCCCTGCGAGGGCCGGCAGCAGGCGCAAGGACCACACGGGCACGTTGCTGCTGTATTCTGGAACGCAACCACAGCGGAGCTGAGCGCACCGTGTTTGCAAACAGAGTTTCACACTCACAGACTCCAGTATGAGCGTTCACGACACTGGGGGCCTCATCGGGAACTGGTGTGTGAGCACGCCTTTGAGATGCGCTCGCTAGTCAACGGCACACAGGAATGAGACTAAGGATCTGAAATTAGTTCGTGCTTTACCCCACCTATCTCCTAAGTCGCTGTGGCAACACACACGATTCGTACATCCAAGAGAGACACAGAGGAACCATTGTCACTAAACACTAAGATGTTCACCAGGTTTTTCGAAAGTCTGTCACGTGTACCCAAACAATCGATCACACCCTGGACTCACATTAATAAACCAGTTGTTCATTCCTATGAAGGCCACTAGCTCCCCATTCTAATACATGCAAATTAGCAAGGGCAGTGAAAATGAGATGTACCTGCTCCAATTCTGTTCCACACAAAGTTGCCGTCGAATCCTCCCAAATAACCTAAAACAGGATTGATCAGCGACGAGCCGTTCAGCAGTGTTTCAGGAGTGCCGAACAGTGGCGGCCAACAGCAAGCAACAGTCAATAAATAATAAGACATGACCACTGCCCTCAAGAAAGTTCGTGTATAAGTTTAAAAATATATATATTTTTTTATTGATTTCAGAAAGGGAGGAGCGAGAGATAGAAACGTCAATGACGAGAGACTCATTGATCGGCTGCGTCCTGCACACCCCCCACCGGGGATTAAGCCCACAACCCGGGCATGTGCCCTGACTGCGAATTGAACTGTGACCTCCTGGCTCACAGGTCCATGCTCCACCCCTGAGCCACGCCGGCCGGGCCCTCCTATAACTCCTGAAGGTTCCTACCTCCCAAGGCCAGCAGCATGTGGCCAAAGGGCGGTCCGCTGCCATCCAAAAAGAAGACCCGCTTCATGTAAAAAGAGATGTACTGCCCGTAATAGACTTCATCGAAACTGGAAAACAAACCCACAGGCACTTCACTATGAATCTGAGCCGCAGAAAGGCACCAGCGTAAATGTACACCTGCGTTTCCAAACGGCTTCAGGGCGCGATCGGCAAGGGTCCGATCTCCGCCCCAACCACGTCGGGTCCCCAGGTGTGAAGACACGTGTACACAGCCTTCCCCGAAACACAGGCTCTGTGTGTCTCCCTCGCTCTGGACTTAGGGGTGTGCCGTTAGCCGGTCCCTGAAAGGCCTTCCAGACCCGAGGCCAACCCCCGTGTCCACCAGCTCCATGCAGGAACCCACTGTGACAAAACGCTTTCAGGTGAAGACACAAAGGAATTGCCGTCCATTTTTTGAGGTGTGATGATGCTACTGTGGTCTTGTGTTTTATTAAGAATCTGGGTCTTTAAGAGACACTAGTGCACTGAATTACTTACGAAAAAAATATGTCTATGATTTGCTTCCAAAAATCCACTGCAGGGAGGGGGTGGCTATCCTATATAATAAAAGGCTAATATGCAAATTGTCCCCTCCACCCGGAGTTCGACCAGGGGGCGGGGTCGGCTGGCCAATCTCCCGCGTCCCCTCCCCACAGCCAGCCCAGCCCGATTGGCCAATTGGGGCCGCCGTCTGGCCCCCACCCCTGAGTTGATAACTGTAGAAGCTGGGTGGTGAATACAGGGGTGAGGGGGTCATCATACTATTTTCCCCGTATTTGTATATGTTTGATGCTTTCCATAATAAAAAGTTAAACAAAGAGGAACACAGGTATTAGATAATAAATAGCCCTTCACTAATAAAAGGGGTTGTTTCCCATTATAACAGAGAACACCTCTAAGGTCAATGAGGACTCACTCCCATATTCCTCAGCCTCTGCCCCCAACCTCCAGGTCTCAAATGGTCCCCTGGGGCTGCTGCGCCTGCCCCGGCCCAAGGGCAGGACTGGGCAGTGGGCTCTGCAGGGGTTTCCTGGGACAAACCAGCCTCTCCTCTAACTGCCCCGAACCCCAGCATTTCCCTCTCCCGCTCATGCTGTTTAACCGGCACGGTTTGGCTTACACCACAGCCCGGGGGTAGGTGAGGCGCCACAGCCTGCTCAGCAGCCCCGCCGCCGTCAGAGCCACGACGGTCAAGTTGACATCCGCGGTCACCACGACGGGGCGCTGCAGAAACCCCAACATCTTGCAGAAGAGCCAGCCGCGAGGAGTCCCTGGAAAAGACCTGGAGAGTAAACGGGTGGCAACCGGGAAGGCCCCGAGGCGGTGAAGAGGACCTCGGATGCGCCAGGCAGCACCGCCCTCGGGAGGCGCCCGTCACCCCCGGTGGGCATGCAGGACCCTCAGACTGAGCACCATCCATGCAACCCCTGCCAGCACCGTGGGGGTAGGGAGGACGCTGTGAACGAAGGAGGCGGCCTTCCCGCCCTCCCCACGGGGCAGCGCGGCCGGGGACCTCCACCTTCCGAGCCTCGGAGCCTCCTCTGCCCCGCGCGCCTCCTTCCCGTCCCGCCTTGGGCAGCACTGGCCCTGGCGCCCCCTTTCTCACCGGGGGCTTCACCCTCCCTGGACCTCCACTTCTCGAAGGTACGTCCGCCCTGGACGCCCCGCTCCTCTCCCCGGGCGCCCCTCCCCCCCGCAGGCTGCTCTAGTCCCGGGCCATCTTCACCGGAG